TGAAGTCGTGACAAACTGACCCCGATGAAGGAGATGATTCCCGTCGATCTTCCTGGAGGAGGTCTGAGGACAGAACATCATGTTTATCACGCTGTCGGGTTCAGAACCAGCAGAGTCGCAGCACAGTGACAAACGTGTTAAACTCACTTATCAAATGTTCGCTTTCCCAGCAGCCCCAGAGCTTTGCAGCTCTTCTTGGCCTCAGGTTTGGGTTTTGGTGCTGGTTCTGGCTCAGCAGCAGCAGGCTTGGCGACGTCCGGCTCCTCTGGAGGTTTTTTAGTCTCCGCTGGAGTCGAGTCGGCCGCCGGAGCTGAAATCAGAGCTTTGATCTGACGGATAAAAACACAAACACTGATCAGAACCAGATGTTCAGGACAGATGTGAGCAGGTGGACTCTGAGCAGCGGGTCGGGCAGAACCAGCTGCACGTTTCAATCTGTTTACAGAACATTTGAGCTTTTTCACTGTTCCTCTGAGACCAGCTGATGTTCTGTCCTCAAACAAGGTCCAAACACTGCAAACTGGTTCATCTAGAAAACATCAGCGTCGGGTCTGAACTCACATCCAGCAGAGACACCAGATGGAGATACTAGGAAAGCCCTCATCAGGAACTGAACAGAACCAGGTCCAGTGTTCAGACTGAGACACCTGGATGGATGTAGAACTGATCTGGTGTCAGGTTCTAGCAGAACCCAGATGTGTTCTTCCTCCTAAATGTCATGTGTCTATCTGCTGTTCTGATGAAGTTCTGAGGCTCAGAAATGATGGAAAAAGTCCATTAAAGTGATCAATCTGGACCCTCCTCTGTGGACTTGAAGGACCTGGACCTCTGGAACATTCACAGTCTGAAGGTAGAACTCTGGTCAGGAGATAAAGGTGCTGCAGAACCAGAACCAGATGAAGGCAGGAGCTGGTTTATTTTGACAGGAAACAGAAACAGCAGATAAAAGTGACGGTGAAGCGCAGACGAGGAGGAAAAGTGTTGAGATGCTTGACTGAGTAAAAGTACCGACAGGAGGCCGTAAACACTGTGAGGACCTGCTGTTGCTACGGTAACCTCCTCTTTATGTCCACCTAGGATGAATCTCAGCTGTTTGGTTATTTTAATCTGCTCAGTTCCGATCAATAAATCTGATCATCTAATGATTGATGAAGTCATTCTGTTCGTTCAGAAGGTGGAGCTGATCCTCGACATGGAAACTAGAACCTGGAACCACATGGTCTCATCGATAAACTACTGATGTATTAGTTTCTCTGTTTCTGATCGATCACTGATCAGGACCATTGATCTGGACTCACCCACTCGGGCTGGTCAGGAGGCGGGTTCGGCATCGGTTCTTCCACCACCGTCTGAACAGAGAAAAGCTTCAGTTAGTGACCTGACCCTCAGCAGGACCGGACTATGTGGATCAGTGATCGATAACAGCGGCTGTCTGGAGGAGCTCCGGACTGCGGCTCACCTCCGCTGTCCAGCCGGGCGGAGGGAAGGCCGGGAACCCGAACGGAGGCACGCAGGCCGGCGGGGGGATCGGAGGAAGCGGCCCCGGGCCGAAGGCTGCTGGATCCGGCGGAGGGATCCCGACAGACGGCGGCAGACCCGGAGGGGGCACAGGGGGCACTGGAGGCGGGACAGGTGGCACAGGTCCGGGCGGGACGGGCTCGGGGCCCCACGGCTCAGGAGGACCTTCCGGACCCCAGTCCGGAGGTCCCCAGCCCGGCGGAGGGAGCGGCCGCTCGGGGCCCCAGTCCTCGGGGCGGAGCCGCCACTCTTCGTCCCGGGGAAGCCTCAGGTCATCGGGGCGGAGCCTCCAGTCGTCGGTGTGCGGACGCCTCCAGGGGTCTGGGTGACGGACCCAGTCCTCCGGAGGGGGCAACCAGTCATCGGGGTGAGGCCCCCAGCCCGGCGGCGGAGGGCCTCTGGGGTCCCAGTCTGGCGGCGGAGGCCCTCTGGGTCCCCATCCTTCTGGCGGCAGAGGGCCCCATCCTCCGGGCGGCGGAGGGCCCCACTCATCGGGCGGAGGAGGCCACCCGTCCGGCGGAGGAGGACCCCAGCCCCCGTGCGGCGGAGGACCCCAGCCCCCGTGCGGCGGAGGACCCCAGCCCGGTGGCCCCATGTCGAATGGAGGCAAGTCGTCAGCCGGGGGTCCCATGGGGGGTCGGCCCCGCTTCGGTCCGCGTCCCCGACCCATGTCCTCAGCGGAGCGGCTACACAGCTCCGCGCTCCGAGCGGCGGCTGAAGGCTTGACTCCGTTTGGAGGTGAAAAATCACCGAGAGCCGAAAAAACAGATTCAGCGGATCTGGTTCGGATCGTTTCAGAAAGAGACGAGACTCGGAGCTGCTCTTCCGGTCACGTCACCGGCGGCTCCCGTCTGCAGCGCCGCCAGCAGGCCGGAGGAGCGAACTGCAGCGATTCTTCTTCATGGGATTTACGACCAACTTTAACCTTCTTTCTGCACTATATATATATATATATATATATATATATATATATATATTAAAAGTTCTTATGTCTCCCAAACAGACTTTAACTTTCTCCCAGTTTCTGCTGTAGTGAGTGAGGCACACAGCGGTCACTGGTAAATACTGATAGAAGATAGAACTCAATAAAGTTCTGTCTTCTATCTACTGCAGCTGTGAAACGTCCCAACGAACCGGCGACCTGCGAGGCGACGGTGCCACAGATACACAGAATAAAGGCCTTTATCATATATATATATATATATATATATATATATATATATATATATACGGTGCTAACCACCCAATAAAACATCCAAAGAAAATTTGAAAAAGTCATTCAAATGATTTAAATTATAATAAAATGCAGAACTCCAGCTCAGTCTCTCCTTTAGTCACCAGAAAGTGTGAAGTTGTGGACAGAAGTTGGACATTACAGCTGAAGCTGCTGTTCACCTGCAGCTCAGGTGTTTCCTCACCTGGAACCAGGAGTGGCCCGAATCAGTTCATAGCACTGTAGCTGCACTGGTTACACAAACTAGTTTTAACTGGTTCAAACATGAGTCTCACACTGGTGTCAGACTGGTTTTAGTTCAGGTTGGTTGTATTCTGGGCTGCAGGTGGAGCAGTGGTCAGCACCATCACCTCACAGCTAGAAGGTCTCCGGTTCACGTCCCGGTGAGGACACCCGGGATCTTCCTGCGTGGAGTCTCCATGTTCTCCCCGTGCAGCGTGGGTTCTCTCCGGGTTCTCCGGCTTCCTCCCACAGTCCAGAAACATGCCGAGGTTAACTGGTGATTGTAAATTGTCCGTAGGTGTGAATGTGAGTGTGCTTGGTTGTCTGTCTCTAAGTGTAGCCCTGTGATAGACTGGTTACCTGTCCAGGTGAACCTGCCTTCACCCTGAGTCAGCTGGGATAGGCTCCGCCCCCCATGACCCCAGTGAGGGTTAACGTGTAGAGATGATGATGTATTCTGGAGTCAAACTGGTTGCTGGCACACCAACTGGTTGTCTGAAACCAGTTTCAGACTGGTGCCAAACTGGCCAGATGTGTTTTAACTGGTTTAAATCTGGTTCTCAAACTGCTGTCACACTGGTGTTCATGTGGCTTCAATGCTGAGACGGACGTTGAATTATAACCATTTCTTACAGTTTAAGATTTCTTTTCTCTGAAGTCAGTTTTTTCTCAGGATGTAAATATGAAACTTGGGTTAGGAAATTACAACCAGAGCTTCTTCCTCCTGAGTCGGTTTCATTAGCAGGACTGAAGAACATCGACCTGTCGGTTCTGGAAGGTTCTGAAATGAGAGTCGATCTGCAGCGTAGCAGAAAAAGCTTTTATTTAGTTTTGCTGGCTGAAGTCGCTCGACTCCAACAAAGAAACCAGAAAGAACTTTATAGAACATCAACAATATGAATATAGGATCTCTCAAAATTACAGCAAAACAGGGAGCTGGAACCTCAGAAGTCCGAGTTCTCGTCCGAACGCGTCCTTCTGAGACGCAGCAGCTCGCAGTCTTCGGTTATTGCAGTGATACTTGGAGGCCGATTCGCTCAACACGTTTCAGATGCATAGAAACATCCTGCAGCTTGTAAAAAACTCAGCCAGAAAATCTACACGTGTTGCATTTTGAATGAAGGCAGCCTCCATCAGAACAGAACCAAGGCAGAATGTGAAGAACTAAAGGTTCTACAGCAGAACATGGACAGAGCTGGACCTGCAGTCCGGCTCTGAATTACTGTCCGTTACTGAAACCCAACAAGCAGCAAACAAACACACATTTTGTTCTGTGAGTCATCACAAACCAACAAACGTCCGCTGGAAAAGATCCAGAACCAGGACCGAGCCCAGATGGGTCAGTACGGAAGAGACGTTGGGACACCGAAACCAGTTCTGAGAGTCAAATCTGGATTAAAAAGAAAACGTGGAGAGAAAAGTGTCAGACTGCTGAGTGGTTCTGAACTGGTTCCACACCGGACTGACCTGTTTTTCAGTTTGCTTTTATCTGGTTCAGATGCTATCATTAGCATACTTCTCTTTATTTTAAACTGGTTTCAAAACAATATTAACTTCATTTTCAGCCAGATTCAACTCTTTCTTTCTGAATTTAAACTTTTGAAGTTTTAAAGTGGGTGTAAACTGGCTTCAGGCTGGTTTTAACTGGTCTGAAACCATCTTAAACAGGTTTTAAACCAAGTCAAACCTCCTTAACAAAACTTTTTTTAAAAGAAGGTTCAACTTCGTTTTCGCCCAGTTTCCCCCGGTTCCGGACAGGTCTTATGTAAATGGTTCCAACTGGTTTTAGATTTAGTTTGAACTGGTTTCAGACTGGTTCCACCGACCAGTGAATAAATATAAAAACTAAAAATATCATGACTATAATTTCTTCTTGTGTTTTAAAGACCAAACTTGTGTCTTATTTTTTCAGGACTGAAGTTGAATCTCAGACAGTTTGAGTTTTGTCCCTCAGGCTCTTCCGTACTTCGACTCCGTGGAAACACAGAAGGTGAATTACAGAAGTGAAGCAAGTGCAGCTGTGTTTGGGGGAGTTCTGGCGAAGGAGGAGTCGCTGTGATCGCCTCCGTCGTCCTCAGACGACGACGGCGGACGTGGGGAGGAGGAGGCTCGTCCTCACCTCCGACTCGTGGAGGCGCCGGCGGTTCCGCCCGGCTCAGTCGAAGGGGCTGAAGTCCCGCTCCAGGTTCTCTGACTCGTCGTCGTCAGAGAAAAAGTCGTCCTCGTCAATGTCGTCCTCGTCGTAGTCCTCGTGCCACTCGGGGACGTACTCCTCATCGTACTCGTCGTCCTCGTCCTCCGCCTCCTCGCCGCCCTCCTCCCCCGTGTAGTTGTTGTTGTCCGAGTCTCCGGAGTCCGACGCTCGGTCCGACTTGGACCTTAAGGAGGCAGAGAGCCGGTTACATCACTGTTACTGTAGCGTGAGCACAGGTGAGCACAGGTGAGCACAGGTGAGCACAGGTGAGCACAGGTGAGCACAGGTGAGCACAGGTGAGCACAGGTGAGCACAGGTGAGCTACTCACACTTTGTTGGCGTCGGTGTGGTTGGACAGGTTGGAGGCCTGCGGAGACTCCAGCTCCTGGCTGCTCTTAGTCTGATATCCAACCCTGAAGTCCTGATCACAAACAAAACTACTGATCAATCTGCTGATCGATAACATCGATCAACACACACACTGTCAGAGCTTAAGCCATCAGTCAGTCCAAACTGCTCCAGATGGGTTCAAACAAACTGGTGCCAGACTGGAAATACTTTTTATAGACATTCTCACATGTTTCTACGATGATCTGAACTAATTTCAGACTGTTTTTATGTTGAACCGGGTTCAGACTGGGATTAAACTGGAGTCAGACTGGTGGTCAGACTGGGACTAAACTGGAGTCAGACTGGGATTAGACTGGGGTCAGACTGGGGTCAGACTGGGGTCAGACTGGGGTCAGACTGGGGTCAGACTGGAGTCAGACTGGGGTCAGACTGGAGTCAGACTGGAGTCAGACTGGTACCTGTGTGGAGTGTTGCAGGATGGCCAGCAGGCGCTCCTGGATGCGTCGGATCAGTTCTAGTCCGGTGTTCAGGTGTTCTGGTTTCAGCAGCCGGACACATGAGGCCAGGTCAGTGCACTGCAGCAGAGTCTCCTCTGAAGACAGAAACCCAGTGAACCCAGTCAGACCAGTTTAAAAATGGTGTGGTGACTGATGATGGGAGTGTGCAGGTTCTCACCGAGCAGGATCTGCAGAGCGTTGGTGTGCAGGTCCAGAGCCTCCGTCTGCTGCTCCATCACGTCCATCTTCTCCGTCTCCTGGTTGTAGTAGCTGTAGACGCAGGAGTAGGCCAGAACCTGCAGACACAGAGCAGGGCACAGTGAGCACACAGCTGCGTACCTGTGCAGGTAACCTCCACACAACCTCCAAGGAGGATGAAGATACCTTTCGAGCCTGAGCGAGAACTTTACAGGCATCGATGACGAAGGTCAGCGACTTCATCTGCAGAGCTTCATTAATGGACGACACCTTGTTCTCCAGGTTGACGGCGAAATCCTGAAACATCCAAATAAACATCACCTGACTGCAGCTAACTGCCACTGCTACTGCTACTAGATAAAGGTGTGCTACCTTGGCCTGATGGTGGAAGGTGCATCTCTCGTTATAATCCTGGAACTTCTTCTCCTGTCGCGCTGCTTTACTCACCTGCAGCAGAAGCACATTAAAGCACAATTATCAGACTGTCTCTGATTGGACAGAATGATCAGGTGAGTGTGAGTGGACCAACCATGGCGGAGCAGTTGTAGTAATCCTTGTGTGTTGGTTTCCAGGGTTTCAGACAACGCCAGCAGAAACCGTGGTTACACTTGGCACAGGTCATACTGAGGACAGAGCACAGAGACACCATCATCATCACTGTGTGTACAGGTGTGTGTACAGGTGTGTGTACAGGTGTGTGTACAGGTGTGTGTACAGGTGTGTGTAGGTGTGATCCTACTGCAGGCAGCCTTCGTTCTTCTCGATCTGAGCCTGGCAGCTGGGGCAGCGTTTGGAGATGAGCTTGGCCAGATGTTTGCTCTGAGCCTCCATACTCATCCCCTCATAGTAGCCGCCGTCATCCATCCACTGGGACATGTGGCTGCAGCTGGAGGGGTAGTGGGCCTGGGGGCAGAGAACATACAGGGGTAACAACTGGGGCAGATAAGTTCACACAGCAGATCACATACAAGTCGCATTGAAGTGGAAACGTGAAGGAAGTCACAAAGAAATCCTCATTGAGCATCAAGTCCTGCAGTGTGAACGTAGCCAATCTGTGGGATTGTTCAGTCAGATAATACGCCGTCATCCTGATTGGTGACATTAAATGTCATGTCGGAGTCACAATCCAAGGCTGTCGCTATGTTAAGGCTGTTTTTATGGGTTCTGTTGGGTTTTCCTACAAACCTGTCGGATAGCAGGTTTAGGATTGTTACGGGTCGACTAACGAGTCACCACTAAATGTGTGTGTATTTGTGTGTGTGTGTGTGTGTGTGAGAGAGAGAGAGAGTGTGTGTTGTGTATATCTGTGTGTGTGTGTGTGTGTGTATCTGTGTGAGTGTGTGTTGTGTGTGTGTGTGTGTGTGTGTTGTGTGTGAGTGTATGTGTGTGTGTGTGTGAGTATCTGTGTGCAGACGGACCTCGGGGAAGTTGCAGCTGAAGCAGGAGGACCAGCAGCACTTGGAGCAGGTCCCCATGCTGCCCATGTTCTCCTTGCAGAGGATCTGGTCGCAGCCCTGCGGGTTTGTGCACCAGGTGAGGTTGGAGCAGCACTCCACGTAGCCTCGCAACAGCGCGTTCTCGTACTGCGGGAAAAAGGCGTCGGTCACATGACGCGGGGAAACCTATCGGACGGTGCGTTTGTGGTCAGCTGACCGCGTTACCTTGGCGATGGTGTCCTTGTCGGTGAGGATGCTGAGGAAGAAGTGTGACGTGGGCTGAGCCTGGCAGTCCGTGATTGGACAGTTGCAGTTCATCACCAGGTTCTGCTCGATCCTCGCCGTCAGGTACTCCTGCCAGCACGACTGTAACACAACATGTATGCACTGATCACAGCTGACTGATCAATAACTGAGTGTTAATGGATCAATGACTGACCCGGCAGCAGTAGTGCATGCAGCTCAGCGACAGCACTGGTTCCATGGCGCCAGTTCTGGGCCCGAGGCAGACTGGGCAGGTGGAGGCGGGGCTCGGCGGCGGCTGAGGGTTCCGGCACTTGAGGCCGGCAGCCATGATGAGGGCATCAGGGTCGTCGGTGTAACGCTGCACCAGCAGGTCCACGTTCCACTTACAGTGAACCAGCAGGTGTTCGGCCCGGTCCAGGTCCAGACTGAGAGTCCCTGAAACCTGACAACACACAGATCACCAGAAAATGTTGTAAACTCAGGCTCTAAAGTAGAACCTCAAAGAACCACGGGGAGTCCAGCTGTGGTTCCCATCAGTCCACCTGCATGAACATGGTTCTACAATGAGCTGAGAGCAGCAGAACCTTCTCAGTTCTGGACCTCTGGACTGTGTCTATCTATGTCTGCATCATGGCTCCACATGGAGAAGACCTGAACAGAGGAGGAGAAACATCTGACTGAGAGACTGGACAAAGATGGAGAAGGATCCAGAAGATCAGTGAGCAGCTAGAACCCAGTGCAGCCCAGTGTGAGCAGGAACCAGGAGGTCCAGAAGGAGCCACAGCAGCACTGATCAGGGCTGCAGTGGTCGTCCTCCTACAACGACTCCACGGACAGTCAACTACTGTCACTATGGAGCTGTGGACACCAGACAAAGGCAGCTGCTTCAGACTTGGCACAGGGCTGATCAATGGAGACCAGAGTTAGTGTGAAGCTCACACAGTGTGAAGGACACTTCAGAACATCAGCCTCTATGGACGGAGGAGCAGAACTAAACCTGGCTGCTGCTCACAGCTAAACTTCCACATCAAAGTTCACCAGAGAACATGAACAGAAGCCTGATGGATGCTGGAGAACATCCTCTGGTCAGATGGAGATCAATGTGTTGGGCTCACATGGAGTCCAGATGTTTGGTGTGAACCTGACCAGGACCACCACAGTGGATCATGGTCCTGACAGTGAAGCACGGAGGTGGAGCATCATGATGTGGGGCTGCATGAGGGCAGAAGGTGTTGATGACGTTTCTAGAAGCTCCATGAAGGTCTGAGGATGAACCAGGATACTGGCTGACCGGAAGCCTCCCAGTCAGTAATCTGATTACTTATTACAAGTCAGTACATCCTCCTGCTACAAACTGACCGCAGCTCATCTCAGATCTCACCTGTTGGACCGTCCTCTGCATCAGCTGTCGGACCTCCTCCTGCGTCATTGTCCGACCCATTGAGAACAGAACCGCGTCCAGAACTCCATCCTCGAACCGCCGTAGCGCCGGTACCCCACTGCAACACACACACACACACACAAATATACACCAAAAAAACCCCAATACACACTGAGCTGACGGGAGACAGCCACAGGGCCTGCAGCGCCGCCTGCTGGCAGAACGCAGCAAAGTGCAGCCTGGATCAGACTCATGCAGCTCCAACCACAGTCAGCAGCTCATAGACGACAAACTGCTGCCGTTTAGGACGTAATTAAACTAATGAGCACTTATCTGATTTTTCTCATTCATCACTCAGTCGATAAAAAACGTCTCACATCTTAGCTGTGTTTTCCAATGTCCAGAAATCTGAAATAGTCAGTTCACATGAATAAAAGCAGCATCTGCTCGTCTGACGAGCTGAAACCTGCAAAAACATGCCGACAGCGTTATCGGGGCAGATTCAGCCTTTCAGCTTGTGCTTCTGTCCAACCTCTTATCCATCAGTCTGACGTCTGAGCCACGTGGCAGAGAGAGAATCAGCACATTAAAAAGTTAAACTCAGATCGACGCTTTAATAGAAACAAACAAGAGAAAAACACTTCTTTCATAAAAAATGTGGATTTAATGTCTGATATGTACATGGAGGAAATGAAACAGTGATTTCTGTTCATACATTTAAATCTGCAGCTTCTGTGACGTTTACAGCAGAAGGTATTGATCTTTAACTGAAGGTGTGTCGATGAGCTCAGGGGCTGATTGTTTAATTACAATCAGACTTAACTGTGCAGGTCGTTAACTGAAACTGGAGCATCCTCACATCAACTGAAGATAAAAACTGATTTAATAAAATCTCACTTTGATCAACGTTCGCGTGTATTTGGTCAAAGGTTTTCAGATCGTCAATAATCAATACAATCATTGATAAGTAATCATCTGAATAGAAACGCGGTGGGAGAGCAGGCAGGTTGGAGGTTTAGCTTTTATTCTGTCTGTCGAAGCTGAAATGTCGCCGTGTGTGAGGTCAGAGGTCACACCTGATGTCGGCCCGGCTCTCGGCGCCGTCCTTCCGGATCTCAGCCCGGCTGAAGGAAAACTGTGCCTGGCCTTTCTGTGGCGTGGACGGGTCCTCGGGGAGGAACTCCACGATGTGCGGGTTCTCCTCGTTGCGGCGGATGCAGCCTTTGCTGATGACGTGCATGATGCAGGACAGCACGTCGCCGGTGCTGCAGCTGAAACTGCCGCCGCCCGGCGAACGCGACGCCTCCTGCTTCTGACACGAGTCCAGAACCTGGAAGAGAACGAAGGATTCCCTCTTTATACAGAACCTGCAGGATTCAGCGATTCACCAGCTAAAGACCAAAAGCTGCCGGTGGTTTGACAACTGTGTTTGCATTTATCAGCTGGAAACTGAAAAACATAAGAATCCTTGAACTGTCAGCAGTCAGAACTTCTCCTCTGAGCTGAAGCTTCGCAGAACTTATCTACCAAAAATGAACTTCTTGTATCTGACAGATTCTGTAAAACAATGAATTCTTTGCTCCTCAGCTGCGCCCTGCAGTCATGTGACAACATGAGTTTTCAGTTTCCATCCTAACAGAAAACGACAAACTAACGGCACGTATGAGCCAGAAGGGATCCGAACTGTTGGTTCCATCTGGAAAGTAAGTCTGAGCTTAAAATCCTCAGATTTCATTTAAATCACTTTATTCTGCATGTTTCAGTGAAGAATTTGCTACAGATAAACAAACTAAACCCGTCTTCCCTCCTCTTCTCATTCTCCTCGGCTCACTGGGTTCTCAGGTGAACTGCAGCCAGTGTTTCCACTAAATGCTGTAATTCTGGTGACTTTTCAAATGAAGTCAAGCCTTTCAGACTTCGGTGGGCTTCAAAGGCTTGATTTAGTGTCGCGTGAACAAATTCTAAATGCGTGACGCTGCAGGTGAAGCACGTTCGCTCTGACCTTGAAGACGAGGTTGTCGATGTGCATCTCCTTCTCCTGCTTCATGATGTGGACGATCAGGCAGTAGATGTAGTTCCTTTTCCTCTCTAGCGTTCCCGCCGCGTCCTCGTCCACGTTCAGGTACGTCTGTCTGGGCAGCAGCTGGACGGATACCGGGACGCCGTCCACGCTGCGAGACACCACCTGCTGGTTCAGCCGCAGCACACCTGCACAGAGAGGGGCGGAGTCAGACCGAGGGGGCGGAGTCAGACAAGAGGTGGAAGGGTGGCGTGTCGGCGAGCGTCTCACCGTGACTCGGGTCGTCCGGAGGGCTGCAGGTCAACGGGCCACCATCGCTGACCAGCGGCTGCAGAGCGTGAAGCAGGACGGCAGCAGACAGACCGGTCACCTGCAGCAGAGACTCCACCTGGACGTCCTGCAGACAGAAACAACACCAACCACACAACCGTCAGCGGCGCTCAGCAACGCTGAGGACGGCTCTCTGGCCCAGAGGACCTGCCGGTGTGTGTGCGTCGTGTCACCTGGTGGTGGTTGAAGTGCAGCAGGATGAACATCTGCAGCGTAGAGACGTGCAGCGTCCAGCAGCCCAACTGCAGCTCAGCGTGTCCGAGCCACGTCCACTGCAGCCGCCGGGGCTTCGAGTGACTCAGACCGTACATGGACTGACCTGGAAACGGGTCACTGGTTAGCAACACGACTAACCCGGTTAAAGCCAGACTTAAACCTACTGACTGTGGGTGTAGAACTGGGTGAACTGGTACTGACTGTGGGTGTAGAACTGGGTNTGGGTGTAGAACTGGGTGAACTGGTACTGACTGTGGGTGTAGAACTGGGTGAACTGGTACTGACTGTGGGTGTAGAACTGGGTGAACTGGTTCAGGTAGGAGCAGAGTTCGGATGGAAAATGTTTTGTGGGTTCGTCCAGGAAGCAGAGCGAGGAAACGGCCCAGCAGCGAGGAGACAGAACCAGAACCTGGACCTCGGCCTCGTCTTCTGACTCCGCCCACTCATCCTCCATCATCTATGGTGACAAGTAGAGGACAAAGTGCTCATGATGTTCTGTTGCAGCAGGATTTAAATTGACAGAACTGAAGAACTGTCAGAAGTTCTGCTGACCTGGTCGTGCTCCTGCAGGCGCCGGTCCAGCTGCTGCAGCCGGTACAGGTGGAACTCCTGCTGCAGCTCGGCTGACTCGCTCAAGTTCTTCATCATCTGCTGGGGGAAGCGACTCGGGAAGCAGCTGCCGATCTGGTCGATGACGGCGCTCTCCAGCCAGACGTTCCCCTGAGCCAGCAGCCGGTCGCCCAGATAATACCTGCACACAGACACTCATGAACATCCGGCTTCATGCTGCTCAGGTTCTCTGGTTCTGGTTCTGCTGGAGCTCAGACCTGTAGAAATGCTCAAAGGTGTTGGCAAGCTCCAGGCCCGACAGGAAGAGCATCGGCTCCAGAAACTGCTGCAGCCGCTCCAGAGTCTCGACGCTGCCGGACGCTGCTCCACTGGTCTGGATCATCTGATCGATGTACTGAGCAAAACGCTCGCTCACCTGCACGACAGGAAAACGCATCATCACACCTCAATACACCTGAGCTGCAATAACCAGAGGGCTGTAGTACAAAGCCAGATGATCAGTGGGTCAGCAGGTGTGTCGAGCTTAGAGTCAGACTTTTCAGTGTCATGGAGGTGTCTCTCTTTTAACCTGC